ATTGAACCCTATGGGGAAATTTCCTTCGGGTTACGACCAACTCGGGATACACCCAGAGTCAGGGAACGGATTAAGTTCGTATCCCGAGGTACCACTGTATTAGAAGATAAGAGTTTATAGCCCCCTGCTTAGTTTCATTGACTTTGTGAAAATGATCCCCACAGAACTAAGTGCCTTCAAATCACAAGAAGCTGAGTTTTGAGGAGGTCAGTATGACAACCGGTATGGCAAAAAGGAACTGCTTACTTACAGATTTTCTAGTTGCCTGCTTGGGAAGTAACTATTGCATGGCAGTAGGATCCAAGAAGATGTAAAAGTAGCATTGGGCGATAGTCTGTTCTTCACTGAACTGCTGAATGACCACTAATCTCCCATCCTGAACTTGGCTTCACATTTTTAGCTGAGCGTGCCTTCGTTGGACACAACAACTCTTCCCTGCAGATGGAACTATAGTTTGCCTGGGCTGGTTGGAACCCTTGGTACGATATTCCCCGACCTGATACTTTCACAGGTATTGGACTAGAACCTCTAGCCATGCTGGAGAATTGTAGATGGGATTGTAGTTCATATCCAATGGGGCACTAGACTGGTGAACTGTGCTCCTGTAATACTTTTCTCAGGCTTAGCATGTTCTGATGTTGCTTCTTAAAACATCTTCTGTATAAGAATTTGAGGGATTTCATATAATACATTGAGTTTGCATTTCTCCTGTACCCGTATGGTGGCTGGTAAGTAAGCAGCAGGCTTCAGACATCCCATATGGAACCCTTAATGTAGCAGAGTTTTGTGCTGCTTTTGAAAGTGGAAAAATAGGGAATGCTATAATGGTGTCATAAGCCCCCCCATCTTTTCCTTTGATGTTCAAAGCTTATGTATCAAATAGCTATTGTTTGAATAGCCTTCAGTTATCTACTTTGGTGGTAGAAGATCATTGAGTTTACCCACTAACCCATGTGATAGTCTGTTTGGTTTTGATTGCAGCACTGTATAATATAAGACATTATAAAGCCATCGTACAGTACAATACAATATAAGCCATTATAAGCCATTTTAGATAACAAATTATCTTTTATAGCTTATTCAGTAAACCATGAATAAAACAAATCATGGCCTAGAGCAATATATCTGAACCCAGCCTTTGCCAAAGTCAATTTTCCCCATTGCTGAAAATGAAGTTACTTCTGCAGTGCCTATAACTACCGTATGCAATGCATAATCATGGTTAATCCTTTTCAACAAAATACCACAGATGCTTTCCCAATATGCCCACAAGAGGGAGCATCATCACCTTGCTCTCCTTCACTGGTGCTTGCTCCTGCCCCCTCCCTTTAGGATGACAGATAAATTGTGATACAGTACTTAAAACTTCTTCCTCCAGTACTTCCTTTAAATAATTGCTTTTGCTGTGCCCAATAGCTCCTTTTCTTCTTTTTGTAACTACATTTTATTGGATTGGGTTTGGTGAAAAAGGTGGCCTCTGTTTAAATAAATAAATAAATAAATAAAACTTTCCCAACCAGTGCATTCCAGGAACATTGGTGGTGCTGAGTTGGAAATCCAAAAGTTGTAATCTTGGCACCAGCAGAAAGCTGGCCTCTGTCTTTTTGTAATTGCCTAGTAATCAAGAACTGTGGTTTTGGAAAAATGCGTGCCCTTGCTTTCTTTCACAACAGTTGCCCTTATTGACAAACAATATACGTTTCCCTATCTTTCAGGGATACACCTTAAACCTAAAAATGAAAAGTAATATAGGAATTGAAACTTGGTTGCCTGGGCCTCCCAGGATATACTTTTCAAAGTTACAGCTGGGTTTTTGGGGGAGGTTGGTTCAGCCATAGTTGTGGTAGGCCTCCCAAAGTGTGTCTCTGAGGTTGGATGCAGTTGGTAAAACTACTGTACTGTAGTGCTTTGCATGTAACAATTAAGTTCTATTTTTGTTGTGCAGTGCTCCTTTTGGGAGCATGATTTCAGCAGTCAGGAGGGTCACTTGCTGTCTTAAGGCCTACGTGCCACTTTCTCCTGTGGCGTACGTGGAAGCATTGTTTAGTTTAATTTTATCAGGGCTACAGTCACTGACTTTTGAAGGTTTCCTGCCATTGTTGAGATGCTGGCACTTGGTTTCCCTGCTCATGGATCATGTGTCCTCCCCTCTACAGGTCACCTAAATGTTATCGTGTTTTGGTCTCCTGAGTTGGACTGAGTTCTGAAAAAATTGAACCTGGTGGATGCTTTCCAGGACAATCTGTGAACCACAACTTGCTGTTTGAAGTCTATATGTCAGATATTTTGGTTCCACAGGGTAGCAAGGGAAAACACATCTTTTTTTGCTTTAACAGAACAATTAGCTTGGATTATTTTGAAGATTGTTAAAACGGTATGTTCCATCCACCCTCTGAGGCAGGAGAAGGCTTGTAAAGCATTCCCATCCAAGGATATATTTGTATTGAATCACCAAGGAAGCTAGAAGATGGGAAGAGTTTTGTTTTTGGCATGTTTTAGAACGGGCAGGCAAGCCATCACATTTTTGAAGTCCCTCATGGCATGGTTGTCAGAAAATAGGCGAACAGAGAGCCATTTCCTGATTGATATTGTCCATATGAGTTGAGCCAGGCTTTCACAGTGCTAAGATTTCAAACGACGCCAAAGGAAACAACTGATGGGAGATACCATCACATTCCTCTGCTGTTAAGATTCCTATTTCTCTTGCCTTCTCAGGCTGGAGGTGTGCCCCATTGCGTCTTTGTTGCCCTTCACATTCATCTGTGCAGGAAAAGATACGGAGTTCTTGTCAACTGGCTCCTAAGGAAGATAACATGGGTTGTGATTTTGTTTTGGTTATGTTTCTCTGCCATAGTTTTCAGCTCATGTAGCCCTGATCTATCAGTATGTGGCTTTTCTTCTGGTGGGAAACTTGTGGGCCACCCCCTTGAAGGCCATGGCGGTTGAGTGATTACAGAGGGGATAAACTTACTAAATACGAAGAGTATTCTGTATTAGTGAAGAATAGTTTGTTTTCTACTTTGTGTAAACCTCAAGCAGTGGCTTAATAAACTTGATATAAAAGCAGAGCCTTGCTTCTCTTTAGGGAGAAGCAGAAGGGAGGTCCAGTTTTATATGTTTTCTCCACCCTGCTTTAATTATGTTCAAAACCATGCAAGCAAATTGCTCAATTTAGCAGAAAGCGAAAGGAGAGGGAGGGGGAAAGTTTATCTCTTTATTTTGAGCTGTGACTTCGTAATGATTAATGCCACCTTGCATGTCATAGGTTTTCCTACAGAGAATGCTTGTGAAAGGGAAAAAAAGCAAACAATGTGTCAGTACCTATAAAATACAAAAGCATGGGAGTTCATATAAACAGGCGTAGTCCACAGTACATAGGCATAGAGAAAATGTTATTTTGAACATTGCCCAAATCAGGTATGAGCAAATAAAGGACTAGCCACATTGGTTTCCCATGAGCAGCAAGGTTTTCTTTCTGTTAGTTAAGCAAACATATAGAACAGTTTGTACCTTACACAAAATCTCACCAATTCATGTCCAGAAGTCACCGTAATCACTAGCGCTAGCTTCCTGTGGCAAGTTGAATGGATCCTTGGGAAAAGGAATGGCACAATGCGACTTTCATCCCACAGTGGCCCCTGAGTGGCCATGGGTTAAATATTCTTCACATATGTATGTTAAAAAAAGCTGTTTGTTGATAAAAAGGCAAAGTTGATCCATAATTCAAGGGTGGGCAGCACTTTTGGAATGTCGAGAGCATGTGGAAGGCAAAGGCTTGGGAAAGGCTGTTGGGTTGTTGTTGTGATGATTTGTGAAAGGAGTTTTATGTAGCCATTTTAATTTGCATTATTGGTACCTTAATTCCGTTTGCTTTTAATAAACACAACAGTAGAGAACACTTTGTACCCTCTCTCTCGCACACACACACACATATACACACTCACACAGATATACATACATGTAACATTTGTAGCCTGAAGTCTTGGTCAGAAGAAAATTTTGTTGTTTGCCAAAACAAAATAAAACTTGAGTCTCTGGAGGGATGTCCACACAATTAGTCCTGACCCATGAAGTGTCTTTCAGTTGCATTCTGTTCAACCGTCCATTCTTGCTGGTCCTTTCAGGGTTCTCAAACGAGAAAGGGTTGCATGTTTTTCATAGTGTGCTTTGATTGCTAAACCTTTTTGAATATTGAGGGTGTAAGTACCTGCCTTTTTCTGAGAATGCTTCTTGGTTGCATGCTGCAGCACTTGATGGGAACAAATTTTTGGGTGGGCGTGAGCTGCGGTAGACCTAAAGTACCATGACTAGTGGCTCTTGCAGACCTGATAAATAAAAATTGGGTGGTTGAATGATCGTAAGCTTTTAAGGGTATTAAGGGAGATGTTCCCAAGGGATTTCAGGAGTTTTTCTGCTGACCCTCAAGTAATGGAGAAAGTCATGGATTTAAGAGACAGAAGGAAGACATCCCAGTTCAGATGTTTTCTCCAGTTGCTACGGTGAAAATATAAATAAAGCAAACTGGAGGGAATGGTAGAAAAACTTCGGCTCTTGCCTTTAGAAATAGAAGACCATTTGCATACATCTTGTGGAAGACTAATGGATACACTAAAAACTGTAGCTGTAGGTTAGCCATTCAAATACCCAACAGTACAGATAAGCTGTTAATGCTGGCCTTGTTTATAATATTGAGTCGTGGATTTTGATTGAAGAGCCATCACCAGACTCAGTCTGATCTAACTGAAGCAAAACGACATGCTCCTTTGGTTAGAAAATTGGCCTTTGCAGTTTTTCCATTGAAGGTTGGGAAGATAGAAGATTGTGGCAAATGCATTGGAGAACTTACGAAAGACAAGACTGTGGCACATTTATTAACAGCAAAAAGAAAAAAGACCTCCCCTTTCACCCAGAATGGCAGTGTACAATATAATAATGCTTTCTTAAAAACAGAGTACAGAAATGACAAGCAATGTGATTGCAAATAATGAAGGCACTGGGAATGTGCTGGTTCTATTCCTGGTGGTTTTATCAGGAGACACACTAATTACAGTTGGTTTGGTTGAATGAGGAAAGCCATGCACAGTGTTATTGGTGGTATTAGAACCAATGACTTTGCCAGTCCATCGTGTGGTTGTACTTGTAGCCGTGTCAGGGTTAGATGTCTGGTTTGCTGTCAATATGGGGGTACTGTTGATTATCCTTGTTGCAGATTCTGTGGTGTGGCTAGCTGGTAACGTGCTGATAGCCATACTGGGAGCCATGCTGGGAGCAGACGTGGCATTGCTATCGGGGGCTTCAGATACAAAAGTGATGTTGTCATCAGGGACTTCAGAAACAATTGTGGCTTCATCAGAGTTTTGGGTAACAGAGGTAGCGTTGCCATTGGGGGCTTCGGTAACAGAAGTGACATCATCAGGGGTTTCGGTAACAGAGGTAGCATTGCCGTCAGGGGTTTCAATAACAGAAGTAGCATTGCCATCAGGGGCTTCGGTAACAGAAGTGTCATTGTCATCAGGGGTTTTGGTAACAGAGGTGATGTTTTCAGAAGTAAACGGAGGCAGTTGTGTGCCAGAAGCTGGAGCAACGTGGGTAGCATTGAGCGTTGATAAGTTTTGCGCATAGTTAATCCTGCTAAGCAGTAGAACAAAGATGGAGTACAGTTGGGGCTTCATTATGCACTTCTGTGGTAGACATAAAAGAGAAAGAACATTCAGATAAGACTTAGTGGGGGTTTGTAGGATTGTTCTGTGCTTATGACCAGCCCAACCAATCATGTTTCCTTCCCAAAGTCAAGTTCATGGGATTTTGCCTGAGCTTGTTATTGCCTAGTGCATGCTGCCCATTTTCCTGATGTATCTGGGTTCCATCCAAGATTTCTCACAATGTAGCCTAAGGGGCATTTTGTAGATTAAAAACTGAATTTATCCTTGGATTGTTCTCCTAACACCAACTGGAGCTTAATTGTTGTGCATGTCCATGTTATGCTCTTAATAAAAAGTACAGTCTCAAAGGATTAACACCGGTTGCTTATGATGCTGGATAGGGCTCAGCTGGTAAAGGAAAATCTGCTTTGCAGTGAAGTTGCCCGCTCCCTTCTCTAGCTAGAAGTGGATTGGCTCCTTATTGAATATGAGCCTGGAAGCACTTGGGCAGCAGTACCATTTCTGTGTTAAGTATTGTGAGGTATAAATGGATTTTTGCTTGTTTGTTTGTTTGTTACCCTGACAGATGCCAAGCTGTCTCTGATGATTATGTTGTTCTTGATCTAGAAAAAAACCTTCTCCTCCCAGGTGTCCTCCAGGCTTACTAGGATTGCAATTCCCAGAATTCCCAGTGATAAATGTTGAGAGTGTCAGATTAATGGAAACTACTGTACTCTACTGGTGCAGTGGAAAGCTTTTCCCCTTAAAGTAGTTAGATTGATCCATTACAAATTCTTGAGAGTTGTATGGAGAGAATGTAAGTAAGAAAATTGAGTTTCTTGATTTGCTTTTTTGGTTTCTGTATGCTTGTTCGTCTTTGGATGACTTGTATGGGAAAGAGCTCTTGCAGAGCACATCTGGTGAGATGATTGTGGTTTGCTGTATGTTAGACTGAAGTCTATTTAGAAAGTTCATCAGACATTTATTGAAATGTCCTATAGAAATCTGTGTGATTCTTCAGATGTCTGTGTCTCTCATAAGACAAAGTGGGGCAGACAGGACCATATGTGAAATTCCCTCCCCATATATGCTTCTTTGTTTGCAAGTTTAGATGTTTTAACAGTTTCAGTTATTTTTCACAGAGATAGTTATACTGAAATGTGTTTTCCTAATGCCCCCCTCTATGCTTATTCTAAGATTTGTATGATAGTTTTTATGTTGGGTAGTGACCCTCATGAGCTGATCTGAGAGGTCCTTGAAATCAGAAGAAGGATGCCATTATTTTAAAGACAATAATAAGCTCAATTTTGGTTCCTAACGATGAAATCAAGCATGTTAGATATTTTTGGAGAACTAACCATTGCCTGTCAGTTCTTAAGCATGAGAAGATGCTTTCTGTGCTATCAGAAATTCATCAATCTAGATTAACGTTATCATTCTATGTATTGTTTTGGAAGTGGAGATCCAAAACTGAATAATTTGCATTAGTTGGCAAGTTCACCATCCGAATTAAACAAAAGCAGCAAAAGATTCCATTAATCCATTCTAAAATCATGATTCTGCAGGTCTAGAGTATGCCACCTTGCCCCATCTGTTTCTTGTCAAATGGGAACTGAGCATAAAACATTATCTCTGTATTTAAAATAAAGTTGCTGGCCTGCCATTCTTCTTACAATCCAGCATCTTCTCCTATTTCTCTAACTCTGCCTTTGACTTTGCTCATTAAGCAGAGGCAGGTACATAGGAATGGGAAAAAATTACAAGGTCTGCTCTCTAAAACCTGGGTGACTCTTTCTCCCACAAATATAACATTGGGAAGGCTCACTCCAAAGCCAACCACTCAGCCAAGGCAAACCTGTACATGTTCTGCATCTGATAGCCTAACACATTGAGAAAAAAATGATCTAATACACCAACACCAGACTTGTGATTCCTGTGTCCTTGGGATGAAGTTGGAGCAGACAAAAATCAAAGGTTCAGTTACCATCATTTACAGAATGAGGCAATTATACGACCATATCAAATTCCATACCTCTCTTTGCCTTCTCTTTTCCTTCTGAGTGTTGTCCTGGGAAATCGGAAGCTGTTCCTTAGCTTAACTACTGTCCAGACTTCGAAATAGCTGGCCCAGAATATCAGGGATGGCAATTTATGTCAAGAGTGATGTAATCACACAGCTAACAAAGGGCTCACTTCCTTGTTTGCAAGCCATAATCCAAAGTCAATATTGTTTTAAATAGAAAGACTACCTATATGGTTCAGGAAGTATTTTTAAAATGTTCAAAGCATTTTCAGCCTCTACTGCTTGTAACAATATATTTTATAATCTAGAACTGTTTTATTTGATTAATTGATTGATTAGTATTGAGTACCACTAGATAAAAGTGTCTCAAGATAAATAGGCAGCAAAGTTTTGATTATAAATATTCATTAAAACTATAATTGGCTTAGGAACAGAACTGTTTTATTGTTGACAATCAAATGTTGTACTTTTTTAATGTTTGCAGCCTGATTAACAAAATCCTAGATGATTCATTATGGTAGGGAAGACAGCTTATAACACTAGAACCACCCCAGAATTTTGATGAAGGAAATATATAAAAACAGTAATACAAATCTCAAAATAGGTATGGTAACACTTTTTTTTTTTTTAAGTGAGTCTCCCCTAATTTTGTTTTAAAGGAGGGGGAAGTCCCAGCCCTGGCAGCTTTCATTATTTCCCTGTGTACCGCAATCCTGAGTCTCATAAAAAAAAGTTCATTGTAGATCCTGACCACCGAAAGGTTGCCTCCTCTGCATTATATTCTAAACCAGTTTCAAAACGCAAAGTTTTAGATGTACATACACTTCCTCTCTCTCTTTGACAGTTACTCCATTTTAGAAGGGGAGTGGGTGGTTGTAAATTTGGATGCCCCTCCCTGTTTAGAAAGATTAGCATGTGCTACTTTTTCTTTTGTGTGAAGGTTTTTGACCTTTCCAGGACAGCCCACATGTGTTTTGCAGTCATTCAGGTCCTAGCAGAACACCCTTAGCTGTTTATCCCTAAGTTTGTAATGATATGGTGAGACCCACATTTCCTGACTCTGCAATCTTCTTTTGGAAGCTCAGCATGCAAAACTGAAAATGAACCACTGGCGACTGTTGCAACAAATAAGATGGACATAATCAAGTTATACAACAGATTCTACTGAAGGAAGTTGGATGTTGCTTACAGCAATCTTGGCCTATTCTGTATGCATCATAGAGCTCAGAAAAGTTCTGAACTTGAATGTCATGACCTCTGGTATACGGATTGTATTTGCTTTACAGCACAGCAGAAAACCAACCACTCATGGTACTTGGGATTATTTGATTCTGGAAGCCTCAAGCTAGCTGAGCCTTCCCTAAACCGATGGCCCTAGCCTGAATGGAAATTTTGGGCCCTCTAGTCACAAGACATGTAGAAGATACCAATATTGAGCTAGAGCATCAAAAAGCCATGAGTTCACATCTGATGTGAGAGATGAGATTGTGGCAAAGGCCGTATTGCCTCAGTTTGAAGCTTGAGGCCAGTGGTGTGAGCTAGTGGCTTGTTCTCAGGTAACTGTAGCTTCTAAAAAGCTTCTGAAGTCCTAAGAGGGTCAACTGTGGGAGGACAAACTTCCTTGAGAGGCACCTTAGCCACTATGGCCAGTTTCCTGCATTTCTTTGCGACAGGACAAGTGTGCTCCAATCCCAGAAGGTAAACTGACATCTACTAATACATCTCTGGAAGATTTGCAATAGATCAATAAAAGTTTCTGACTCTCAGTTTAATAAAGGCAAGATACTGGTAACACGAAGAAACATTAGCAAGCAACCAGAAGTTAAGTTCTGTAGATGAAAGGGCTGCTTTTGAAAATAATCTCTTGGGTGTCAACACATAAGAACCAATACAAAGAAAACACTAGATGCAGTGGGGATCATTTATACCCAAAGGCCGTCTTGAAAGTTCTGTCTTAATAATTTTTAGAAAGCCAACAGTGATGGTGTCAACCTAATATCCAGAGGCTGCTTCACAATATGGGGGCTACAACCAAACAACATTGCCCCTTTGCCTCATCTGTCTGGGGGACTATTAAAAGATGTTGGCAGCAAGTCCACATTGGATAAGTTAAGTGGATGCTTCTGTGTGGAGAAGGCAGTCCTGTAAGTGCCAAGCCTTACAGGCTTTTAAAGTCAAAACCAGCACTTCGAATTGCACCCAGAAACTTCATGGTTACCAGTGCAGCACCCATAAAACACTATAGTTATCAGTGTATGGTGTTTACTGGCTAATCAATACTGCCTGTGATCTTGAAACTTAGATTTTCTTCCCCCTGCCTTCCTTTGTGGCTGCTAACACCCTCCTCCTTTCTATGGGAATCCTATGAGAATATGAGCCGAAATGTAAGAAATAATTAAAAACACAAGAAATACTTGGCTAAAATGGCAAGTGGCTGCTCCTGGATGAGGGGTATTTTGCATGGTGTATGTTACCTGTATCTGGGAATCTAGCAGCCGTGTCTTGAACCAAAGTATGTGTCTCTCAACACTGGGCAGGGAAGCAGTTAGCCCCTGGGCTTCCAGTAGTTGAATACTAGTGTTGTAGGTTTTGTATACCTGCTATCTGAACTCTGCTCTCACAACATGAAGGAAGGGCTTCTGGGGGAAAGATTGGGGTTCATCTGCAGCAAGAAGCTCTTGCTTTTATTTAGAAATGTGGACGGTTAAACTGATATTATGGCAACTTTGCTAGCCCTAATCCCCAATCTGTCCTCTGAAGGAGGAGATAATGTTACAGATAGTTCTTGACTTACAATGATGCTGAACGAAGGGACTTACGACCGGTACCCAGTTATGGTTGTTGCAGTGCCCCTGCGGTCATGTGATTGCAATCTGGGTGCTTGGCAAACTCTTCACACTTATGACTGGTTGCCAAGCGCCCTGCGATCACATGACCGCCATTTGCAACCTTTCCTGAGGGTTTTCCCAGAAAGCCAATGGGGAAGCCAGCAGAGAAAGTTGCAAGTCGCTCAGGTAACTCTCCCCCACTTGCACACCCTCTCCAGCCCCTCTGCACTCGTGCCATGCCAGCAACTCGTGCACACTTCCTGACCTGCGCCGCACCCCCGCATGCCCTCCCTGACCGCGGCACCTCTCACGCACCCCCACGTACCACCTCTCATGGACCTCTGTGCACCCTCCCAAACCCACATGGACACCTCTTGTGCACCCTCCCTGACCCGTGTGATACCTCGTGCACCCCTGCACGCCCTTCCTGAACTACACCGCACCCCATGAGCCCTCCTAGACCTGCATGGACTGCAAGGATTGCCATCACTAAGCGATGTCTCACTTTATGGCCGCATTCCAGTTCCGATTGTTGTCATAAGTCGAGGACTACCTATATCTGCTTATTCCTATTTCGGTCCCTACCATATTCTGACTCAGAAGAGGTTGCTAATAGGACTTGGTGCGGGGGGGGGGCTTCCATCTTCTTTTTACTTTCTCTTTCTGGCCTTGGCACAGGCGAGCAACACTAGACATCTTGCCTTTTCCTCTCCCTGAGTGACCCCATTACAACTAGTCTGATGAAATTGCCATGCTGTATTTCTCTAATAATGAAACGAGCTTGTTAATTCTTGTGCCCTCGTTGTTTTGCCATTCTGCTCCCCTTGATCCCCAGTGGGGAAAATACATGGTTTTCAAATGTAGAACGACCCTCCTTTTTTGAATCCTCTGCTTCTGGTAACCATGGAAATGGCTGCTGCAGTATGTAACCTGTTGGGGAAGCTGCAGAGGAGGAATCGGGCGCGTGTCAGGCTTTTGTGCCAATCCTGCCCCTCTACCTTTCGCATCCAGCTCTGAATATTTACATTCCGGTCAGGGATCTGCTGTCCACAGCCTCTCAAAAGGGAAACGGGCTTGGATTTCTTTGCAGCTTGGTAGCGCCCGTCTTTGCAAACTAGTGATGAAAAGAGAGCAGAACCATACTAACAGCTCTGTGGAACAGTATCCTCACTATATTAGCCTAGTAGGAACTTCCTGTGGCTTCTCTGTTATTCAGCAGCTGCACACGGCAAGTACCTTGTGTCTCTTCTGACCTTCCTACCCACGTTCCGATTATTTTTTGCCCCTCGTTCTTGCAGGTGACATCTCTGACTAGCCCAGGCTTCTCCAGGCTGATGCTACAGTATCTGGATGCGTTGCCCGTCAGCATTCATCATCCCCTGCTAGCTCAGCGACCATGCAGATGGATGAAGATCGTGCATATTGCACTATTCAATATTGCTTATGCCAGCCTTTCCCAAATGTTGAGACTGCAGTCCCGTCCCCCCCAGTTCCCAGCTGGTGTGGCCCTTGCCTCTGCTGGCCAGGAATGTTTGGGAGCTGTAGCCCTAGCGGTCTGAAGAGCACCAGGATGGTTTTGCAGGGAAGGTATTTCCCATCCTTTGCTCCCCTGATCCTTTTCAAACCAGGGTTGCTAAGGCTTGGATGCCTTCAACCCAGCCAGGTTCTCATCCATGAAGCTTCATGGCAATTCCACCTCTACCTGACCCCTTTTGGTAGGGTCTCTTGATGAAATCCCACTCCCTCCTTTTTGTATAGAAACGACATTAAGCTTAAACGGGGGGGGGGGGGGCTTGAGTTCTTTGTGGTCATTCAAGGCTGTACGTTCTGAAGGTGTCCATTTAGCAATATGGACCTGCAGAGACCAGGCTCCATGCCCCTTTCCAAAGGTAGCAGCTGGGTAGATGGCTTCTTGATTGCTCCGGGTGCCCACACTTCCTTGGCATGTCAGAACATTTTAATTGTATGACATGTTCACCTGGTGAAATTATGCAAACATATTTATTTATCTTGGTTTGTAATTCTAAGCCCTCGACAATGCACTGCTGGCTCACCTTGAACTTGCCTGTTAGTTTCCAGAGTGCTAGGTCCTTGCATTCATTTGTCAATGAAAAGAGGGTTACTGTACTGTGAAAGAATGGAGCCCTGGCCTTAGGAATGAGGAGGGAATGAGCCATCTGTTAAGGGGGGACTTTCAGAAAATATTACTCAGCCTGATAAAGAGGAAAGCACGTGAAAGAAACTCAGAATAACTCCATCTGGATTTTGTTTAGTATAAGATGGGGCAGAGAGAAACTTAGGCGGGCTTGCAAAGTTCTGTTATTCTACCTGACAGCAGTAAAGCGCATTACCTGAATCCATGCTGTGCCTGGGGTTGACCTTGCCTGCCTCAAAGGGCTGACAGTTGGATGGAAATTTGATGAAATAAATAAAAAAGGTCAGCTCTCTCCAACCTGATGCCGAATGGGCCTGTGGCGACATTGAGTTTCAACCTATGTGAAGGGTTTTGAAGTTAAAGGTATTAATGTGCTAGGTATTAAATACTTAAGCCATTGTTTGTTTTCTGTGAGTAGCGGTTAAGGTATTGGACTGGCTTGGGAGAGACCCAGGTTGAAGTCCATCTTCAGCCATGGAAACTGTGGATGACTTTGAGCCAATCATTCAATTTCAGGCCAGCCTACCTCACAAGGTTCTTGTGGGGGAAAATGGGAGGAAGGAGCACTATGTACATCACCTTCAGCTCTGAATGAAAGGGAAATATAAATGTAATGAATAAATAAAGTATTTCAACAACATCTTAAGGACTACAGGCTTCCAGTCCTATTTAAACTATCGTTAGATGTTAATACTAAACAAAATTTAAAGGGAGCTGGCAAATAACCTCGTTTCCCATCTCCTCTGTTTGCATTAGTTAGCATAGCAATCTAAATCTGTGGTTTTACTGTTCTCTTAGGATCTTAACAAGAGTTATGGCAACAAACCATGGTTAGAAGTAGTTATGTTTTAGATATCTTTATTCCCCCCCCCTCCTTTTTTTCCCTTTATGCATGTCATCTTTTATAAAGGATTAGCACTTTTATATTACAAGGTTCTCTGTCTGGCAAATCTGACAGTACATGTATAACAAAGGCCTTTCATATTTTTGTTTCAAGATGTTTAATGACAAAACTGTTCATAATCAATACAGAAAATACTGACATTTTTTATATTTTTGTGAAGAAAATTAAAAATGTAAATACAAAATAAGCACATTTCATAAAAACAATCATATTATTTGATAGAATTTTCTTCCTTTTTATTTCTTTAATTCAGTAAGACATAATTTAAGTAAGTAGCAGCTTGGTTATCAAGACATGGTTTTTCTGCAGTCTTGTCATTCAAGAGGAGTTATATTCTTCAGTCATATTTCAGAATCTTAAACAGGCATTTCTTCTTGCATCTAAATCATTGTGGAACAGGAGCATTTCTCTCCCCCCCCCCCATTTTATTAATATGGAATAAAGAAGCAATTCATTCATTTAAACACAAATCCACCACCAGTTGCCAGGGCCACCACTGCAAGCATTACAGTGGAGAACAAATACCCCCTGGGCACATTTGCTTTAGAGGGTGCGCGAGGGCTAATTTTTGTGGTGTGTTCTTCTCTTTTTATTGTTGTGCTTTGTTGTTTCTTTGGGTAGTTTGTAGGCACCCCGCTGGTGATACTCAAGGTCATAGGAATTGTGGGAGGTTCCGCCAACCCTTTTGTGCTGGACTTCACAGAGGTTGTATCTTGAATGTAGACCATGTGTGTGGCTGCCGCCGCTTCAAAAGAATTAAGCTTCTCTGTGCTGAGATTTTCTGGTTGGAGGGCCAGTGGCCTATCGGTGCTCATGAATACTATTGTTTGGTCAGCAGTAGTGTTGACATTGATGTCTGTCATTCTAGACTGTTGTTCCTGCACTGTTTCATTGCGTTCAGTTGCTTCTGGAGAGTCAGTTGTATCCACTGCCTTTATGGCTTTAATAAGGAGGTGGTTCTGTGCCACTGTTGGAGCAGCTGTGAATGTCATGGAGCCTTCCCATGGTACAGTGACCTCCTCTGAGCATGGCACCCCAAGGACTGTGGCTTCCGTTTTCCCTATCCATTTCTGCAAATAGGAGAGGGCTAGCTGCTTATCTGTACATGCCCATGGGTTGTTGTAAAGTGTGATTAGTTGTAGTTGAGCAAGCTGGTCAAACGCTTTGTCAGGGATATAGGTGAACTTATTATTGTGCAGATAAAGTTTGGAAAGACGTGTAAGTCTCGTCAGCGTGCCAGGAAGGATTTGTGACAAGAAGTTGTTGGATAGATCCACTATCTCCATGTTGAAAGGAATGTTGGTGGGGACGGTCCAAAGCTTGTTGCTACTGAGGTTGAGGAATCTGAGGCTGCTCATTGTATTGTTAATAAGTACAGCCCTTTCCACCATATTCCTTGACACATCAAGGACTTTAAGATTCCACTGGTAAGCTGTGTCAAGCTTTTGGAGAACCTTGATATTATTGTGCGTGGCATATATTTCCCACAGGGACCTGGGCAGCTGTGCTGGGAGGCTCTGAAGCCAATTGTCAGAAACATCCAGGGTTCTCAAATTGGCAAACTGAGTCAGCTGGTGGTTGAGGTCAACAAAGTGGTTATATGACAGATTTAAATAGGTAATGTTGTCCTGAAGTCCCTGTGGCAGCGTGGTCAGGTTTCTGCCAGAACAGTCCACGTTTCTATCATTTCCTGAGCATGAACACAAAGAAGGACAAAGACCCTGAATGGCTGGTATGAAGAAGAGAAGAGCCAGGACACCAAGTGATGCCTTCAAGACCCGGTTCTCCATTGTTGCCTAGAAGCAAACATATAGCACATGCCCAGTTTATCCCACATTTTAGAAGCCTGGCTATTTTTTGAAAAAGCGCTTACCCCTTGCCAATGGAGTTGCATTTCCATAAATCCAGATATACCTACATCCCTGTGGCATCTTAATGGTGCAGAAAACCATGCTTATTTACCAAGAAGCTCTTCATCCTCCTGTCTTGCTGTCTGGCAAAAGAGTCTAATCTATTTCCATCTCATCTTCCCTCCTCCCACTCTCCCATCCGCCTCCAGCTCCTAATGGTAGCATTCTTCCTAAACCGCTAGGTTCTTCCAAATGTTGTACAATGTCCGCTTTCTGTTGAGAGCAATTTGAATCTCCAGTTTATCTATTGGGTATTCTTTCTGTTATAAAATGATGCTCTGTGTGAAGGTGGCGGACTACGCTGGATGTAGCGTAGGTCTTAAAATTCCAGCAGTTGTACAGCAACTCTCTTATCCCTGCTGTAAATAAGGCATGCGAGAGCAAATGGCATCCATGGTTCCAAAATGCATTCAGAACAATTTCAGGCAGGCTCCCCTGCCCGCGTTCCACCACGGGTACTTTTTCTCCCTTCTTACCCTAGCCTTACTCCCCTTTTTCCAAGGCAGAAACATTTTCAGAACCAAATTAAACGTTAAGAGGAGATTTTATAGCTGTCACTGCAGCAGAGTGCTGGTGCAGGGGACTGCCAAGTTAGACTAGTTTTCTTCTCCCAGTATCTTTCCCAGTCTCTCTGTCTCTCTCAATTTTTTTACTTTAGGCACATACACCCCGGCACACACAGACACACACACACCCCTTGTTCTGTGGCAAGAGGATTGGATCTTAAAAGGAGGAGAAAGAACAGCCAAAGCAACTTACCTGACTCTCTCTGCTGTAGTCTTAGTGCATCATTTCCCTGAAAGATTCAGATGCAAAGGTCGGCTTGTTCTCGAGGCAAGCCACAGTTTGTCTGTGGGCTGTGCTTTGCCTCTTCAGCTGCATCGTACTGCCGTTTCCAGGGGCTCTGCAACCACCTGATCAGCTTTCCATCGGAAGACTGCAGAGCTGTTGTTTTGGTGCTGACTCAAATTTATTGCAAGGGGTGCATGCTCAACAAAATGGGCAGTTCCTTTTTGGGGGGGAAGCCAAGTTTCCAAACTTGGTACAGTTATGTTCCCCTCTGACCCTTCTTCTGGATATCTCTCGGTGCATTAAGATGCAGCGTGCATACTTTGTGCAAATAGCATCCAGTTCCCCCTTTGTGTGTGTGTGTGTGTGTGCGCGATATTTTTATTAAGCTTAAGCTCCTTCAGTCTTTGGCTCTTGTTTTCTGGGTTTGTGTTTAAGCATTTTATCTTTCTGAAATCATCCTATGTTTCTAAACTGAAACTCTAAAAGACTCTGGCAGTATTAAATCAAATGTATTTCACAAGGCTGTAGTGGGACCCCAGAATCACTTAGTCCAGCCTCTTCTTCTGTTTCAGAACCTCGTGCAAATCTCCACTCAGCCTTAGCTCCTTTCAATTCTGCTCCTTAGCTCCTTGCCCCTTCTGTTTCACTGAAAAATCAGAAGAGAGAATTCCTAGCATGATTGAAGAAACAGTTTATTGAAGCTTACTGTCCTAAGTGCAGCAGGAGGTTTTAATGGCATGCCCTTTGAGATAACATTTAGCCACACAGAGAATTAGTGAATGATGCACAGGACTTTTAGAAAACCCATGTGTATATAAAAAGAATCAGTAAAACTTTTCATTTTTTCAGCTATATTTTCTTACTTCAACCTATTTCAGTAACTGTTTTAAAAATACACTGCCATAATGATATGTACTAGCCCATATTTTTAGTGTGCTTTGTATTTTTGGCTTATTTTGACAGAACGGTGCCACTCAGAGTGGGAAACTAACCCTGATGGTAGCCTTGATCTAGATTAAAAATGTGGCTAAATTTTACTATCACAGTCAGCAGCTGTTTTGTTTTCTCCTTCTGTGAAGAGGCTTAAACATCTCTTCTGGCTTACTGTAGGGTTCAGTTCTTTTCTCCTTCTGTGAAGAGGCTTAAACATCTCTTCTGGCTTACTGTAGGGTTCAGTTCTTTTCTCCTTCTGTGAAGAGGCTTAAACATCTCTTCTGGCTTACTGTAGGGTTCAGTTCCTATATAGCTCTTTCCTAGTATTGTGGTTCTTTCTAGACAAAACCTTTTCCTTTATGAATGTCCTCCTCCATGGTCCAAAAATGATGTGCTCTTTTAGACAAAGACTCTGCCTGTATGTGTAGAGCCTAAGGCTGCAAAATTAAGGCTAAGGCTGCAAAGTTAGACTTCAGGGCCCGCTCCATTTTCCTTTATCCTACCAGTGTACATGCACCCACTGCTGATTTCCTTGAAGCCTCCTTTTTAGGAAGGCCCAGTGGCCATGGAATGTGCAGAAAAATGTGAGAGAGCTTTATGGTTACCGGACTCTATAGAAAACCAATCTCTTCTTGCAGGGGCCATGACCATAGATACTCTTGGGAGCACAAGGAGCAGCATGACTGGCAGAATTCTACACCTTATAAAAATAGGGCCTTTCAGAAAAACCACAACATGGGTAAATTAGGAAGGACAAAGAAGAAAGGAAGTCAACTTTAATCTTTATTTAACCAGCTCAGCTACATGACACTCTCATAAGAACAGGATTATACAGTTATGTCTAGATTGGATCAAAGGGGTCCATCTAATTCACAGTTCTGCTTCTGGGAAGCTCACAGGAAATGAATAGCCCTCTCTTGTTGTTCCACAGCATCTATCATTCAGAGGGAGATTATTTCTGAATATATGAGTTTCATAAGGCCCCCTATGATGGCAGCTGTCGATACTCTCCTTCGTTTAGTCTGGTAGCTATCACTGCATCTTATGGCAGGGACTTCGGTAAATTCAGCATGTACTGCATGACAAATTAAATCCTCTGGACTGGAACAGGAATTTCCCTGAAGCAGCCCCTGAACTGTGAATTGCTGTGAAAGCTCACCCTTTCTGTTAAAATATAGGCCAATATATTTTTCTTTAGGCAGGTTTGGTTTAGAGCTGTAGTGAACTTTCTGTAAATTGTCATTGTCAGTTGTAAATTGAGCTTTTTCTAGTGCGGTTAATGGTTCTTGTGATTTTTGAAAATTGTCCCTTATAATTTGGAATTGCCATTTTACAGCAAGAATTGGTGTGGTGTGGGAGTGTGGGTAGAGATGATTAATAGGCCTTCACTTCTGACCAGTTGGACAAAGAACTACTCTTGCCTGCTGCCCCTTGGCACAAGCAAAAGATGTGACCATCAGACTATGTAAGGTGCAATCCAAAGTGTGCTTCAGTTGGTGGGTGGTTCAGGTTTAGGTTCTCCAGTGCTGTTTCTGGATTTCAGAGCATTGAGGGGCAACTCTTTGCCAGCAAGTGGTTTCTGATGCACAAAATAATTCTGTGCCACTTCTTGTTCACCCACACACTCCTGCCACCTCGCACACCGCTAGTCCTCAAGTTAGCTTGCAGGTTTTAGTTACCTCCTTTGCAGATCTTGTTTTTGCTTCTTACCACAACAGTCCTCCATGTTCTTGGATAGCACCTATTCATTTCAGCTGATTCTAGATCAGAGAGCTTTTTAATAAATCACCAAAATATCATAATGTCCCTGGGCACAAGGCTGCCCATTGCTCCTTAAAATAGTGCTCATGTCTGCATCCTCCCAACATTAAATAAAAATAATTAAAAAAAAAAAAGTAAATATGGACCAGTATTTCAAAATACAACCTGTTCTGGCCATCACAATACTAGAAGGACATTGAGGAACTGGAAAAACTGCAGAGAAGAACAACGAAATTAGTAAGGGACTTGGAGGCTAAATCCTATGAAGAATAGTTAAAGGGACTGGGTATGTTTAGCCTATAGTAGAAAAGGCCAAGGGGAGATAGGGTAGCAGCCTTCTAATACTTGCAGGGCTGTCACAGGGAAGAGGAGGTGATTTATTCTCTGTAGTGCCTAAAGGTAGGACAAAAACTAATGGGTGGAAGCTTTACATAGAGAGATCCAAACTCAGAATAAGGATAATCTTCCTGATTGTGAGAGCTGTTAAAGCAGCGGAACAGCCTGAAGTCATGGGTGCCCCAGCACTGGAGGTTTTTGAACAAAAGTCAGGCAGCCATTTGTCTGGGATGGTCTGAGGATTCCTGCCCTGGTCCTGGAGGTTGGGCTAGAAGATCTTTAAGGTCTCTTCCAACCTTATGATTCTATGGTACTTTTAAAAGCAGATGAAATCTTGCATTCTGTCTTTTTCTTTAAATTTATTTATTTGTGGCCTGAAAACCTGGTGATCCCTGCAGTGGATTTTATCTTAAATATTTTTGTTAGGAGTTAATGTCATTGGTATTTGCTAGAGCGCTACTTCTATAACTTGTGCTTTGTGTTTTGTTAACAATAATCTGAGACTGCATGTGTCAGGATAAGGTTTGAAGGAACCCTTTTCAGCTGCAGATGACAGTGTGAATCAAGCCGATTCCTGTATTGCAAGCTGAGGTGAAAGCTCCCTAGATCTAAAAAGTGGAAAACTATTGATGTAGGTATGAATGATAGACTGTTATGAAATGTGAGGGTGACCTTGGAAGACGGGGGGGGGGGGGGGGGGGAGAGATGCTGCCTAGATAATGGTCAGATAAAAGAGAAAGGAGTCCACAACAGAATAAGGGCCAGAGAAAGAAACTTACGAAGGACCCGCCCTAACTACTCAAGCGGTAAATAGGGAGGGTGGGAGATTTGTACTTTCAGACTTGCAAAATTCTGTAAATGTAGCAGAATTCTACATTAACTCTACAGTAAAGTAGAATTAGCTCATCTGGTCATGTTTTCTGTCCGTTTTACCTGGGAGGGCTGGCACAGATACATTTGAATGAGCAATATAATTGGAGCAATCACTTCCAGTGCTGTGGTTTCATCCTTACAGGCAATTCTCTGAGTTTTTTTGGAGTAGGACCCAGCAATCTGAAGCTGAACGGGAGGTGCATGTCCCCACACTCATCAAGGCCTGTACTGTGGATGAGATCAGCTTGGATTCACTGCAGACCACCTCCCATTTGCAATCCATGGCAAACTTCCCATAGATTATCTGTGATTGCAGCCCTTCTCCTTCTTCTGACTCCTCCTCCTCCTCCTCCTCCCTGCTACTATTGTGTTACCCTTCATAACTTGTCAGTACAATGAAAATCTGAACTAGTACTAAGCATCTTGCTAAGGACACATGTCTACCCTGAACTATTGCACCAAGGAATAGATCATCACAACTAGGACCCTGAAAATGGGCACCTTCTTTTATATGAGAGGGTTAGCACCCATTTGGTCATATTTAGAAATACCTATACTAATGCTAGTTCCTTCATCTTTGCTCATCTACAGATGGTTGCAATCCCACTTTTAATGGTGTGCTTATAACTTGGGGTAGAGCATAGTGTGTATTACAGACAGTTGTCTGTTTGATTAAACTGGAAAGATCCTTCTTTGTCCAAGAACATGTTCAGTTTTATCTATTTCAGTATATGGTCTTTTACTTTGCAGCATTGAAGGTATTACTTATTTTACACTTTTTGGCTGCTACTAGTTCTGCATTGCTGAGCTCCCTTCTGGCAGACGCTGTCTCAGTAATTATCAGCTTGAATTGCAATCCTCCATTACACTTCTGGTTGCACCCAGATAGCAGAAACGGTGTGGCTTCTGGCTGAAAAATAATTTCCTTGAGTGAAAGTGAAGACCCAGCATAGTATAATTCCTTCTATTTCTGATACTCAAGCTACAAGAGCCTTAATTTGGCTGTACAAACAAGCAACCATTATGTGTGCCCTGGGCGGGGTGGGAAGAGAGACAGCAGCAGTTTTGGAGAAACCCAAGATTTGCAGGTATGCAAAAAATATTTTAAAAAGCCACACAGGTTCCAAAAAAAAAATTAAAAAAACACCACACCTATGAGAACCGAGCATGACAAAAATGTTGGCAAACGTGATCAGATCAGGGAGAGCCGTTCAGAACAAGAATGGAATTAATATCGAGGGTTGCCTAAAGCAGGAGCATTTGGTACCGCAGCACATTGGTTCAAGATGGAGGTGACCCTTCGTTTGGTAAACTGGCACTGATGCTGATGCAGTGACCCTCATAAGCCTATGATGACAGAGCTGTGAGATATTTTTGTTGGTTGTTTTCATCAAGGAATGTTTTCATCGCTGTTTGGTGGAATATCTGGTTTTTTATTGGATTACGAACTGCCAGGTGTAGATTTGACCACAGCAGTCAGGGACTATATTAAATTAAAAAAAACTCCATTTCGGGTGTTGAGACTTCAGGGCCAAACCAAGCGATTTTTTTCCACATATCCATCCCAGTCGCATACGTGAGGGAGCTCCGACCTCACCCCTCAAAAGAGCTTCCATCTCCTCAGTCCATTTCCCCTGGTCAAGTTTTCTGTTTCTGGTCGCTTGCATTATTGGTGTCAGGGAAGAGGACAGGTGGATGGCACAGCTGATACCTGGGAAACAAGATGGGGAAGAGCCTCTTTCATGGTTATAGGATCAGTGCAGCACTTGTAGCTACAGTCTCTATATCAGCGTTTCTCAATCTTGGCCACTTTAAGATGTGTGGACTTCAACTCCCAGAATT